GTGATAATGCTTAAACAACACTATTTAGATCTTTGCAACAATCTCATCAATGATGACCCATCATATCATGAAATTAATAGAGATCCCACACTTAAAGTGGAAAAGAAAAGTAATGACATTGTTAAGGAACTTCTCAGCACTGGACAAATAACCCAAGAACAAAAAAGAACTTTGACTACTTATAACTCTGTCCCTCCCAAATTTTATGCACTTCCGAAAATTCACAAACCTGTACTCTCAGTAAGACCTATAGTTGCATCAATAGGTTCAGCCACCCAGGCTTTGTCTTCATTAATATCGACAACACTAAAATCAGCACATGCAGATAATGATTACTACATCAAAGACTCATTTGAAGTCTCTCGTCAGTTCAACAGATTGACAATACCAGCCGATCATATTATCGCCAGTCTTGATGTGGTGTCGCTATTCAGCAACATCTATCTGGATGCATGTACAAGAACTATTAATAAACACTGGAATGAGATAAGTCAACACTGCAACATATCTCTAGAATCTTTCACCAACATTATAACATTCCTTTTTCATAACAATTATTTCTCTTTCAACAACAAAATATATTCTCAAACACATGGTTGTCCTATGGGATCTGTTCTGTCACCAATTTTGGCAGAATATGTCATGGATGATTTGCTTGATACTGTTATTCCGACACTACCCTATAACCTCTTCTTCATAAAAAATACGTAGATGACATTATTTTATGCCTCCCTTCCATAGGTCTGGATGGTATTGTCAGAGAATTCAACAGCTATGACCCCTACATCCAATTTACCATTGAAAAAGAAGATGAGAACAACAACAGTTTATTGGTAGACTGGTACCAGAAACCTATGGCCTCAGGTCGGTTTCTCAATTTTAGGTCATACCATAAGCTAGGGATTAAAATCAATTTGGTAAAACAGATGAAAACAAGGGTAATCAGCATCTCAGATAATACCTTCCACACCTCAAATTTACGTAAACTATCAAAACTGTTCATCAATAATGGTTATCCGAAGTGTCTGATTAACAAGATCATTTTTAGTTCACCTTCCAATATTTTGCCGAACTCTGGTGATGCAGGTAATAGTCGCACAACCCCTAATAACGGAACTGATGTAATTCCCAATAATAATATCAATCCTAACAGTACAAGCACCAACCCGGACTCCAGACCTGGTTTTGCTGTCCTGCCCTACATCAAGGAACTGACCCCTAAGCTGATCAGATTGTGCAGTCCTTTGAACTTTCGAATTGCTTGCAAATCCGTCCTCACTATAAACTGCATTTTTTCAAAAATGAAAGACAAAGTCCCGCTGCTTGGCTTAACCAACACTGTCTACTCCATCAATTGCAACAACTGCAACCAAATATACATAGGTCAGACCTCCAGATCTCTTAAAGGAAGGATTACATCACACAAAAGTGATGCTAGGCTTCATCCTGAAAGATGCGCTCTAGCATCTCATGTTAATACAACAGGGCATTCTATGAATTACACAAGTATCAAAGTTCTTGATAAAGAAAAACACCTTTCCAAACGTTTATTCCTGGAAATGTCCCACATCTTCATGAATAACAACTGTATCAACAAAAAGACAGATGTTAAACAACTGAGTGTCATTTACTCATATTTGCTAAACTGCGAAAAATTGGAGAACTTACATATCTCCCCAAATTTCAACTCTTCACAACCATAATTAGAATCTGTGTTTTGGCCGATTCCACCAGTAAATTTCATTCCACTCAAAATATAATAATTCTCTCCTCACGATTTATTAATAATTGTAATTTAAATTCCCATTAATAAAAATATAGTTTATTCAACTGCCTCTGGTCGGTTTAACAAATTCTTACATAAAATTCTGAAAATCTCATCATCTGAAGTGATTTGGCAACGTTTGGCACACGCCCACAATTCGTTCCATCTTTCAACACTGACATTGACATCCTTCGGCCTTCTGTCAAAGGGTTTCATGTCACTCATTATTCCATGACCACTAATTTGTGCAATCATCAAGTGGCTTCACGATGTAATGCTCTAATTTTTTAAATAATTTTTTAATCTGTTTTTAACTTGTTCTTGTCATATTTTGTATAATTTTGACCATTGTACAATCTATCCCGCTCTCACCATGTTACTGGACGTTTCCCTCATCCTATACGTAAACAACAATTAGCAACATCCTCACATACTACTGTAAGTTGAGTCAATTTAAATTCATTTTACACCTTTGTTGCTACTGTTATCATTGTAATTGCAGCTCCTGATGATGATGGCAAAGTCCATTGAAAGCTAGAGAGAATTAAAAAAGTATAAAGAGTCCTCTTTGCTTAAATTTTGTCGAAGTACCCAACAAAAGGCGGAAGCTTTAATTTTTCACCTATATATATATATATATATAAGTTATAGGGCTACCCTGTAGAAGCTACAAAATAGAAAATGCAAGTCAGCACATCATCGCAGCGCCTAGCAACTGTTGAAATGCAACATGATATGTTTCCTGTTTTACTCATGCTAACGAACATTGTACTTGTATAATTAATTCAGTCTTAATCTAACTTTCGTACCATCCACTACTGTATTTTCGGAAATAAATATTTTTAAAAAGGCACTTACGTTATCCCGAAATATTAGTTATATATATATATACGGTGACTTTGAAGTTGAGTCATTAATTTTCAGATAATGATTGTAGAAGGAAGATAAATCAAAATATGTGTGTAAAAATAAAAAAAAATGTTTACCTTGTTTTATAAAGTATCCTCCCGACAAGTATTTCAGTGCGGATCTGTATTTGATCGTGAGGTCTTGGAGCACCGGCATGCCCTCCCCTGTGAGGTCTTGAGTCACTTGATTCACGAGCCCTTTGTACTACATTAACAAAGGCACGAGGGGTTGGTTGCACTCGATTGGGAAACCGATCCGCATAAACATGTGCAATTTTTTATTTCGTTTGAGCCACGCAGCAAACACCACTATTCACTCACGCGTTACCGACTGACACATTGACTGAATAAAAACATCGTGATAAGCGTTTCAAATTCTTTCGCTTTTTTGTTTCCGATGTGGTGAACCGATAAGGCGGATTATATCCGTTGTTGCCAAACACGAGCACATAATATTATTATTGAGGCAGGGCGGTACTCAAACTTCTAAAGGGCTATAACTTTGTTACTTTAAATTTACCACAAAAATGTTAAAGGAAAAAAACATTTCTTTTGATCAGATCTACTCACTGTTAAAATAAATGACTCAATACAGGGTGACTTTGAAGTTGAGTCATTAATTTTCAGATAATGATTGTAGAAGGAAGATAAACCAAAATATGTGTGTAAAAATAAAAAAAAAAATTAAAAAAATTTTGTTACCTTGTTTTATAAAGTATCCTCGCGACAAGTATTTCAGTGCGGACCTGTATTTGATCGTGAGGTCCCCTGTGAGGTCTTAAGTCACCTGATTCACGAGCCCGTTGTACTACATTAACAAAGGAACGAGGGGTTGGTTGCACTCGATTGGGAAACCGATCCGCATAAACATGTGCCATTTTTTATTTCGTTTGAGCCACGCAATAGACACTATTCACACGCGTTACCGACTGACGGCACTGACTGTATGTATAACTGAACTGAATAAAACAATTGTAAAAACATCGTTCCAACTTCTTTCGCTTTTTTGTTTCCGATGCGATGAACCGATAAGGCGGATTATATCCGTTGTCGCCAAACACGAGCACATGATATTATTATTGAGACAGGGCGGTACTCAAACTTCCAAAGGGCTATAACTTTGTTACTTTAATTTTACCAGAAAAATGTTAAAGGAAAAAACATTTCTTTTGATCAGATCTACTCACTGTTAAAATAAATGACTCAACTTCGAAGTTGAATATAACAAAAAGTAGGAAAATAATGGGCAAAATCCGCAAAAAGGAGGAAAGTGGATTCGAGCAGAAAATAGGATAGGTAACCCGAGCGATATGTATTTCTGCTGGTTGGCTTCATCAGGCCCGAAATGAATGTACATATGCAACTAAAAAAGTAAAAATAAATGCCCATACATCCGGATATGGGTGTAACCTGAGGAAACGAAAATAGAGAGGGTAAAAATGACACACGAAGTCCACAACAAGAGCCAACCTACACATTGTAGTATAAAATGGCTAGAAGTCCTCGAATTTTCAAGGCGTAACCACAACCACGCGCCCGGTTATAGCCACATGCTGTGATGGTACTTCAAGCTCAAAGGATCTACAAAGAGAAAATGATCATGCGGAGAAAGGTATATAACAAAAAGTAGGAAAATCATGGGCAAAATCCGCAAAAAGGAGGAAAGTGGCTCTTGTTGTGGACTTCGTGTGTCGTTTTTTTCCCTCTCCATCTTCGTTTCCTCAGGTTACGCCGTATCCGGATATGTGGGCATGTGTATCTACTTTGGTAGTTTCATATGTGCATTCATTTCGGGCCTGATGAAGCCAACCAGCAGAAATACGTATCGCTAGGGTTACCTGTCCTATTTTCTGCTCGAATCCACTTTCCTCCTTTTTGCGGATTTTGCCCATTATTTTCCTACTTTTTGTTATATACCTAATGAAATCTGTACTTTTTACATACAGATTTCACAATATTTTTTTTGAGTGTGGTATCATGGGTTTTTTGTAGTTTCCGTATTCCGTATGATCATATATTAGAATTATTATTCAGAAACCTCCCATGGGGGTTTCTGATTCTTCATTGCACTCTGTTGCATATTCACCACATTACGTTATCTACCTACCAGAATAAAGTTATTTTCCTTATTATATTGTTTTATTTATCACTCTTGAACGAACCCAATCATAAATACACGTGAACTGTTTGAATTGTTTTTCCTAATTCAAAATTAATTTTTGTTATTAGAAAAACCAAAACAACCAAATAAAGATAACAGATGTGGTAAGAAAGTAGGCAACCACTATAGCACCGCCGTATGTCATTGTAAAAAACATGGCGGCATATGTCATTCGTCAAATTGTTCTGAGTAGGCAGGCGTTCTTTCTGTGTCATATTTGTTCTATCACCACGAAACATGACGACATTGGTGTTGCTGGTTGAATTACACTAAGTTGGCATTTGGCATTCTTTCAGTGTCAGTGCATTTCAGTGTATATTTTGTGGTGTGGATGTGTATAGTGGTCTGAGAGTACACAGTTAAATCCGAAAAGATAATTTTACATTTCTGCATGTCGCAGTCTTTTCGTGCCTAAAATCCTAGGATAATTTTCCTGTATTTAATTTCCATCCAAGATGGGTAAAGGGTTCAATAATTACATGTGCAAAAAATTCTTCCATCCTGCATCGCGAGACAACTTGAAACGAGTGAGTTCGTATCAATAAATTATGTTTGAATACTCATTAACTGTATATTCTTCCAGGTATGGATGGCTGAACAGAAAGCTGAAGCGTACAAAAAGAAGCAGGAAGAACTTCGACAACAGTATGAAAAGGAACAGGACCTTCATGATAATAAAGTATGAATGACATTCTTTATCCCTTACTTCACTTTCCTTATACATTATTTTTGTACAGTTTTATACATTCCAAACTTTGGTTCATATATTTTTTTCAGGCTATGCTCAGTAAAGAGAGCAAAGATAAGCTAAGTATAAGCTTCATGTATGAACCCCCACCAGGTGCGAAAAAAGAACGCGAAAGAGAAGAAAATGAGCCCGAGTATAAATTTGAATGGCAAAGGAAGTATAATGCTCCACGAGAGAGTTACTGTAAGGGCGACCAAGAGATACGAGATCAACCATTTGGTATACAAGTGAGGAATGTTAGGTGTATCAAATGTCACAAATGGGGACATATTAATACAGGTAAAATAATGTTTCCTAAGAGCAAAGACATTATCAAATATAGTTAATTTAAGTTTGACCTGCAATGATTTTGTTTGACTAGTTAGGTAAACTATAATAAAGTCCTGAATTACATTAATTTCCTTCAAAAAATACACAAGCTCTTGATTTTTCAGCTGCCCTGCAGGGTTATTACATAAAAAAGATAAATAATGGCAAAAAAACTGCTAAAATGCTGACTTGTTGACTAGTGTGCAAATATCTCATTCTATGCTATAAATCTGTATGAAGTGAATGATAGCTACTTCCAAGGTGACATCTTTAAGGAAAACCTAAATAAATCAAATTCAAGTGAATTACCAAATGAAAATGGTATTTACCATTTTGGATTGGTATTTACCATTTTGGATTGGTATTTACCATTTTGGATTGGTATTGACCGATCCGTTCAAGCGAGTGCAGTTATCAGTTTGGTTATAACATCTGTGACATCATGAATCAGCTGTTATATAGTTATCAACGCAAAATTGTGGTATTTACCCAACTCGGGAGTAGTTCTATATTTCTGGTTATTATTTGAAATGTGACAAGTTAGAATGTTGCTTCATTTTTGGGTAAGTTGATATAGACTGACTTCATTTGTAGCATAAAGTAGAGCAGTTATACTCATTACTGTTGTTGGGGACATCTATTTCTTACGCCTAAAAAAGTATTCTGTGTAGCCAGATACCACAAGAATATAAAAATATGGCCTCATAAACTCACTGGATAAGGTCCACCTGTATACGGTTTTGCTAATACAGTGCAACCCACTTATAAAGGACTTGGAGGGACTGCACCAAATAGTCTATTATAGGCGGATGACCATCTTAAAAGAAACACTTTTTTTATGAAAAAAGCAGCAGAAATAACATATTATAAGCTTAAAATGTGTTTGACATTCAAAAAAGTTATACATAATTTTGATATTTGCTTTTTTTAGAATCTGATACACTTATTACAGGCATATAAAAACCGTAAATTATTTGGTAAAAAAGCTAGTAATTTTTATTTACACAGATTGTTTTTTTTGTATAATTACAGCAACTTGAATTTTATTTAATTTGGTAAGTGTGTCTGTACTGTCTTATTGCTGAAAATAATGTTGCAACTTTTCACGCAGTCTAATGCCTCCTTAGTTGTCACTGGAAGCTCTTCTTCATTGTTGTTTTCTAGTTCATCTTTCTGTTCATTTTTATCAACGGATCCTTCATTAACCAAATTTGAGTCTGCCAATTCCTGTGTTGCCATTAAATTATTGTCAACATTTACATACTCATTAAATTTGTCTATATTCAGTAAACTATTAATTTTAAGTAAATCACGTAATGGAATTTCATCTTCTGGATTAAAATCGTTGACTATGTCAGTTATGTTTTTAACTAAACCAGCATTACGAAAACAATTACTTTTCTGGAGTGACCAATTCCCATGCAATAGTAAGCAAATTTATAGTATCTAAAATGGTGACAGCTTTGGTAATGTTGACATCTTCTTGAAGCTCCATAATTTTCATCAGCATATGTTTCTGATACATTTGTTTAAGACTACAAATGACACCCTGGTTCATCGGTTGCAGAACTGGTGTCACATTGGGTGGAAAAAATTGAAGATTGATGTTATTAAGTGTAATATTTGGATGAGGCCAGTTATCGACCAAGAGCAAAATTTTACGATTTTTGAACCACCTGGGATTCTTAAATTTGCTCTAAAATAAAAAAAAGGTGATAAATTCTTTGCAGCACTGCCATTGAATATCAAAAAGATTAGAGCATAAATTTCTATTCATTCACTTACCTATTATCAACAGTTTCCGTTTTTCGCTACCAGAAGCATTAGCACAAATCATAACAGTTATTGAGAAATCCGACGATCTTTTCAACTGAAGCTGACTCACCACACATTTTTCCAACAACAATGTTGTCTTTTCTTAAACCGGTCTAGCCAACCGGAACTACATTTGAGGTAATCTCCAATCAATTTCCCAAATTTTTCAGCCTTTATTTGTAGCATAGGTACACTTATTGGAAAATTATTAGCACACTTTTGTTGAAACCATTTAAACAGCATATCAGCGACTTGGGGATGTAGCGATAGCCGCATTTTTTCATTTGACTATTTGATTTCCAGTCATTTTTTATAGCCATACGAGCACACATATTTGCGTGAGATGAACCCTGCTCAAGCTCACTAATTGTGAACTTTTCGTGTAAAGTGAATGCACGTTTCGCACTTTTCAACATGTTTATAACTCTAATAAATACAGTGTAACACTGGTGGCCAAGTTCGAATGCAAACTGCGAAGCCAAACCGCCGTGAGCGATTGCATCAGTTACATCTGCTTCAGGGAACTATCAAAATATTTCGCATATAATGGATTAAAATAGACCGCTATGAGCGAGGGTCTATTTTAAGCGAGTCTAAATTGTGTCCTATCATTTCTACTAAATCAAAAAATGATCTCGTTGACATGCGGAAAAGTTTGTAGAATTGAAAGTTATCATAGCTACGAAGCCATGGTTCCATCATTAAAAATTATTTTCTGAAAAAAAACATTTCTCCGATTAATATTATGAAAGGTTTGTTTTTTAAACTTTCCATACACTGTTGTAGAGGAAAAAGCAACGATTGTTAAGTGCTAATAAAAATAATCAGTAATTATAAACTTGCAACAAAACCGCGGTTAAAACCAACGCGTTCAAGCGATTCGAGTAACTGACGTCATCAACCCGTGTGTCATCTTAAACCATATTATAACCGCGGTACATAACACAGAAATTTTAGTTATTCGCTTGGATTTGATTATAATCTCGAAAAAACTGACAATATCAAAACAATAGACATGTCAATTTTCAAGTTATGCAATACCCCTGCCGCTCTCATTATGATATAAGTTATGTACCAGTCTATAGAGAAGAATATGCTGAACAAGGACTTTTGCCTCAACGTTCCTTTCTTATCAGTTTCAGTATTGTATTTCATTTGTTCTTTACCTTGGTTTGTATAATGAACTTTGCAGTCAGTCTCCCATATTTGGTTATTCTCAAAAATAAATCTTTTTTAAAAACGTTTTCGTTGAAGAAAGATATTTGAGTTATATCAATATTGTTTCAGACAAAGAATGTCCAATGTACAATCTTTCAATGAGTGCTGCGAGATCTTTAGAGAATGCAACAGTGATGGACCAAAATTCTTTAGTGCAGCAGATGTTGGATGATGGTTTGGCATTGAAGAAACAACACATGAACACTGCAGAAGCCACTAAGCACTTGTTAGTAACAGAAGATGATGGAGATAATGCAGAAGTGAGGTTTCTGAAATCGCTATCTAAGAAGCAGAAGAAAGCACTATTAAGGTATTGTAAAGCCCAATAATTGAATTTTTACCATCATTTTTTACTAAAATAAATTCATTAAACATGATGCTTTCATCTATCCAACCAAAAAGACAGCCAACCATGGTCAGCTGTTTCCTGCTTCTTGGCTTCTCATCAGTTGGTCTAGGCTTGGCCTCTTGCCTCTGGACAAACAAATGAAACCATCACAATTATCTTCTAGACTGGAGGTATGGTCTATTGAAATAAGGCAGTGTAACATGCCATCTATCACACCAGATTCTACCACTGCAGAAAGCGGATAGCTGCTGTTGAGTAGAACAGGGGTTCTCAACTATTATTTAGTGGCCCAATCACGGGGGGGGCTCTAAATGAGTTTCGACTGTTGAAATTGATTTCGATGGCGCCTTGTGACGATATACTTGATTTGCTATGATAATTTTGTTACTGCCATGATAATTTGAATATAGAAGATCAATATAATCAGATATCAAAATTATCATAGCGAATCAAGTATGTATATCGTCATAAGACGCCATCGAAATCAATTTCAACGGTCGAAACTCATTTAGAATCAAGCCCCATGTGTCCACTAAATGGCTGGCGATTCTGGCTGTAAAGTGAGTATGGTCTACTTGCCATTGAGTCGCGAGGTGACTGGGCTATTAAACGCTAGCTGAGACCCCTAACAGTTCCAACTAATAGCAGCTATGCACTTTCCACTGTCTTATTTTGATAGACCGTACCTCTGGTATACGAGCCCCTTCCCACTTCAGTTGGCCCAACTATCTTAGTTTTTTTCTTATCAAACACAAATAAAATGTAGCAGGGTGTTATAGGTTTAAAATATTAACAATTAAAAATATTAAAAAAAATATTAACTTCGAAGTTGAGTCATTTATTTTAACAGTGAGTAGATCTGATCAAAATAAATGTTTTTTTTCCTTTAACATTTTTCTGGTAAAATTAAATTAACAAAGTTATAGCCCTTTAGAAGTTTGAGTACCACCCTGTCTCAATAATAATATTATGTGCTCGTGTTTGGCAACAACGGATATAATCCGCCTTATCGGTTCATCGCATCGGAAACAAAAAAGCGAAAGAATTTGAAACGTTTATCACGATGTCAGTCAATGTTTCAGTCGGTAACGTGTGAGTGAATAGTGGTGTTTGTTGCGTGGCTGAAACGAAATAAAAAATGGCACATGTTTACGAAAATGCTGAACTTGTGGACATGATTCTTATTCTTAATCGAGTGCAACCAACCCCTCGTGCCTTTGTTAATGTAGTACAAATGGCTCGTGAATCAGGTGACTTAAGACCTCACAGGGGACCTCACGATCAAATACAGGTCCGCACTGAAATACTTGTCGGGAGGATACTTTATAAAACAAGGTAACATTTTTTTTTTAATTTTCACACACATATTTTGGTTTATCTTCCTTCTACAATCATTATCTGAAAATTAATGACTCAACTTCAAAGTCACGGACGAAAGCATCATGTTTAGTTTATTCAACGGCAAGTAGGCCACATCTACTTTATAGCCAGAATCGTCGGCCATATAGTGGTCACGTTTTGACTGGGCTATTAAACGTGAGCTGAGATCCCTATCAGTTCCACCTAATAGCAGCTATGCAATTTCTGTAATGGTTGATTCTGGTGTGATAGATGGCGTTTTGCACTGTCTTATTTCGAAAATGAATATGTATCTTGCATGAAAATTCTCATGGACTGCAATAGAAACATATAAAAATTGAGTTGATTGAATTCAGTGTTACTTGTTTATAAAATATTAATGATTAAAAATGTTTATGTATTTGTGTTCAGGAAATTGGAAAAACTGGAACATGAACCAAAGCCTACCAAGCAAATTAAGAAAAATGACTCTGATGATTCATCTGATGAGGATTCCAAGAAAAGCAACCCAAAGAAGATGAAAAAATTAAGTTCCAAGTATGATTCAGACTTGAATGAATCAAAACAAATGGAAAACTACAGTGACAGGAAGAGAAAAGAAGAGAAAGAGAAAACAGGGCACTCAAGAGAGAAGAGTTATGATAAAAGCAATAATATGGAGAGATCAAGAAACCATAGGAGGCACTCAAACAGTGGAGAACCAGACCATAGGAGGCCATCTGACAGTAAAGAAAGATATTCTAGGAAGAGAAAAAATGGGGATGACAAGGAACATTCAAAGAAAAGGCGTTAACCCTGTTATGCCCAGAATTATTTTTCCTGTGTTTTCACCAAATATTATATCATCATTCATTGATCACATTTTCATTCAAAATTATAATTTCCTCAAAATTATGGCTTCAAGGTAGTTTTTTAATGTATGATAAATCATACGCTGGGCTAAAATAGGATAAGAAAAGGTCAAAACAATGGTATATCCGATATATATTTAAAGAAACGATTACACAATAATACGTATAAACATAAAGTCGGACTTCTAATAAAACCTTACAGAATAGTTTTGGTTTTAGCCAGTATTTGGGACTGAAGGTGGTGCAGCTAAAAGAACTAAGACTAGTTTTCCACGGAATTCAAGGAGTAAGATAGACTCAATCCTTGTTAGGAGTGCCTGACGATATAGGTTTGTTTGTTTCAGATTTATTTAGCATTAATGCTACAATATCCGTAATATCTATGTTACACAGTATATCACATAATATATTATGTCTTCAAGACTACATATTTTTATACAAAATTTCACTACTATGAATTTTGGTTTTCCATGAGATGTTTTTCCAATTTCCCCTTGAACATTTTCAAACTGACACATCTTGATATCAGTACTTAATTTATTAAATTCGTACAATCCCTTTTGAAACAATGACTTGCGCATTATATTGCTACTGCAGTTTTGTAAATGAAAGTCTATACTCCCTCTGGTACAATAACTGTGGCACTCATTGTTCAGTACAATAAAATGATTCGTTAGAAGATTATTTTTTACTTGAATATGAAAATGAAAACCAAGTAGTTTATGAAGTTTTTGATATTTAACCATTGTAGTTCTTCCAGCATAAAATGTATTCTAGTATATTTATTTTTATTTAAGATGATTCTCATAGCTTTATTTTGTAATGAGGAAGAATTATAGTGTTGTACACAATTTTTTTAGAATAAACGCTTTGGCTATGCGAAATTCTATAAAAGTAATTTATTTTCTTGGATATTTTTGAAATAATATATTCAGAGTGCCCCTCAAATTTTGATTCACTATCTACGTATATGCCCAAATAATTAAATGATTCAATTGTCAAAAATTTTACATGATTAGTCGTAAGATTTATGGTGTTTTGATCTAAAGATTTTCCTATTAGCATATATAATGTTTTGTTTGTGTTTAATTCGAGTTTATTCACATTTAACCAATTTATTACGTTTTTCATATCATTATTTAACAGCTGTATTGCAGTTTCAATGTCTTTATTTGATATATATATATATATATAGTTGAGTTGAGTCTTTTATTTTAACAGTGAGTAGATCTGATCAAAAGAAATGTTTTTTCCTTTACCATTTTTCTGGTAAAATTAAAGTAACAAAGTTATAGCCCTTTGGAAGTTTGAGTACCGCCCTGTCTCAATGATAATATTATGTGCTCGTGTTTGGCAACAACGGATATAATCCGCCATCGGTTCATCGCATCGGAAACAAAAAAGCGAAAGAATTTGGAACGATGTTTTTACAATAATTTTCTTCAGTTGTTTACAGTCAGTGTCAGTCGGTAGTCGGTAACGCGTAAGTGAATAGTCGTGTCTGTTGCGTGGCTCAAATCAAAAATGGCACATATTTACGAAAATGCTGAACTTGTGGACATGGTTCTTATTTACGGGTAGTCTTTACAAAATGCTGCCGCGGCATCACGGATCTATGCGGATCGGTTTCCCAATCAAGTGCAACCAACCCCTCGTGCCTTTGTTAATGTAGTGCAAAGAGCTCGTGAATCAGGTGACTTAGGACCTCACAGAGGAGATCATGCCGGTGCTCCAAGACCGCACGATCAAATAGAACTAGAAGAACAAATTTTAGAATTAGTAAGTGATGATCCAACAGTAAGCACCCGACAAATTTCAACTCAATTGGCGATAAGTCAATATAAAACTTGGAAAACTCTACGTGAAAATCAGTTCTATCCGTTTCACATACAAAAAGTGCAGGCCTTACAACCGGAAGATCATGAACAAAGGGTTGACTTTTGCAATTGGCTTTTAAATAAACATCAAAATGATGACAATTTTTTAAATCAAATTTTAGTGAGTGATGAAGCTCTCTTTACTAGAAATGGAATTATTAATTCACGTAATTCTCACGTTTGGGCTATTGAAAATCCCCATGAAATAAGGGAAACCAATTTTCAACAGCGATTTGAACCAATCAACCTGTGGGCGGGAATTGTTAATGGAATTTTAGTGGGGCCTTTTGAATTACCAAATCGCTTAACTGGTGAAAATTATCTTGATTTCTTGCAACACAATTTGCCTGGATTACTGGACGATGTGCCTTTAAATATTAGACAAAACATGTGGTTTTTACAAGATGGGGCACCACCCCATTATGCAAGAAATGTGCGTGAATTTTTAAATAGACAATTTAATAATCGTTGGATCGGCCGTGGCGGTTTTGTACCTTGGCCGCCAAGGTCTCCGGACTTAAATCATTTAGACTTTTGTTTGTGGGGTTGGCTAAAAACTCTAGTGTATAAAACACCGGTTAATACACGCGAAGAATTACGTGCTCGAATTGAGGAAATGAGTACAGTGATCAGAAATCAACCAGTGATTTTACTGCGTGCTTGTAAAGAGGCATGGCTAAGACGCGCCCAGCTGTGCGTCGAGCAAAACGGAAATCATTTCGAACAGTTTTTGTGACATGCTTTTGGGCGCACAGGTCCGCACTGAAATACTTGTCGGGAGGATACTTTATAAAACAAGGTAACATTTTTTTTTTATTTTTACACACATATTTTGGTTTTTCTTCCTTCTACAATCATTATCTGAAAATTAATGACTCAACTTCAAAGTATATATATATAACAAAAAATAGGAAAATAATGGACAAAAGCCGCAAAAAGCAGGAAAGTGGATTCGAGCAGAAAGTAGGATAGGTAACCCGAGCGATACGTATTTCTGCTGGTTGGCTTCATCAGGCCCGAAATGAATGATTTTCCTATTTTTTGTTGATGAAGCCAACCAGCAGAAATACGTAATCGCTCGGGTTACCTACCCTATTTTCTGCTCTTCTCACGATTTATTAATAATTGTTAATTTAAAATTCCCATTAATTAAAATATAGTTTATTCAACTGCCTCTGGTCGGTTTAACAATTTCTTACATAACATTCTGAAAGTCACATCATCTGAAGTGATTTGGCAACGTTTTGGCACACTATTCGTTCCATCTTTCAACACAGACATTGACAACCTTCGGCCTTCTGTCTTCTGTCAAAGGTTCATCTCACTCATTATTCCATGACCACCATTTTGTGCAATCATCAAGTGGCTTCACGACGTAATGCTCTAATGTTTTTTAAATAATTTTTAATCTGTTTTTAACTTGTCTTGTCATATTTTATATAATTTTGAACATTGTACCATGTATCCAGCTCTCACCATGTTACTGGACGTTTCGCTCATCCTATACGTAAACAACAATTAGCAACATCCTCACATACTACTGTAAGTTGAGTCAATTTAAATTCATTTTACACTTTTGTTGCTACTGTTATCATTGTAATTGCAGCTCCTGATGATGATGGCAGAGTCCATTGAAAGCTAGAGAGAATTAAAAAAAGTATAAAGAGTCCTCTTTGCTTAAATTTTGTCGAAGTACCCAACAAAAGGCGGAAGCTTTAATTTTTCACCTAACTGGTCTAGACGACAATGACCACGTCTTTTGTCGAAGTACCCAACAAAAAGCGGAAGCTTTAATTTTTCACATATATATATATATATATATATATATATATATTTACATCTCCACGTGGATAGGTCATCCTTTCATAAACCAGCAATAAGTCACCTACCAGAAATACTGAATATATATCAAATTTAATTCGTGAATATCCGACACTAAGACATTGATCCAAGATCAGTTAAAAAAACTATACATTAACATTTCGGATTTCCATACAAAGTCCGCTATATACCTTTTTCTATCACATGCCCGAGAGGTTGTATGTTCTACGGAGCACTTTGCTTTCCGTCTATCTCCGATAGCCTATGTCGTATCGACGACATCCTAACGATGATAAACGGTGCTGTTTACGACTGGTTGGGTTGATAAATAGCCAAAACCAAAAAACAACGTTTTTGAGTTTCAAAAATGTTTGAACCCACCATAAAGAAAAACTGAACATGACAGAAAATGATCGGAGACCCCCAACAAACATAAAAAAGAATCTCCAATTTCTGTTGAAATCGGCGCAGCTGCTACTAGGATTATGAACTAATAAAATCGCCAACAGACAAACCGACGGAATTGAAAAACATGGCTTTTTGTGATGTAGATATAAAGCCTTTCAAACTTGGAATATTTGCAATTGAAATACTCCGCTACCCACCGGTTCGCAGCATTGAGTCTCCGAAAATACTCGAATTACTTCCCTCCTCCCTTGCCATCATGTGACGTTATTTTTTGATAAGGAAATCAAGCTTTATTTGATTTTAATTTTTTCTAATAGCTCAGAATTAACTATATAGACACGCCAACCAAAAGCCTATGATACATCGCCCATCTAAATACCCTCCGATTCACAAAAAAAACCAGCACTGAGTCTCTCAAAATACTCGAATTTACAAAACACTGTTAGATCAGTGTTAGAAAGCAGTGCTGAGTCCTCCCCAATACCCCAATTAACTGAACGGCGTCATATTGGTCTCCCGATCACTTGAATTCCATTACGTCTATAAATCAGGTGCGTCCGAGTAGGATAGAGCTATGTCTATCTTTTATCTATGTTCTGAGAATTCATGGACATGCAAATCTGTTGTGTACTCAAGAGTGTGCCAAACAAAAAATCCGCATGCCCTGACTAGCACACGTCTGCGAAAGCACTTGACATCATTGACCCAGTTGTTCAACATGTCACAAAATGACATGGAACCACTCGCATCATATCGATTACCAGATGACGTCTACCAAACGGCTAGACTCTCCAAGAATCTGACGTTGATGGAGAAGGGCTATGACGGTCATTTACAAAAAAAATCGCTAATTTGCATCTGGACGAGAATTTGATAGCAGAAGCACAGCAAGATAATAATCACCCAGAACCTCTATATCAATATGAAGATATCCAAGGACCGTATCCAGATCCGGAATCTCAACAAATGGATATAATTTTTCCGAAGAAAAATACCAGAGTTCTAGTTCCTTGAACTAAAGATCAGAGAAAGGTAGTCTTAGCTCACTTTCAAAATCACATTTAGGCTAAAATGTCCCCCCATCGCGAGTTATACTAAATTATTACATCGTTCAATAAAGTAGAAGTTAATTATGAACATAAATTGTATCACAAACTATAAAGTATAACCATTTTTCTACTCAACAACATAATCAGATTCACCATTTATTCATGCATCATTCGAATCGCCTTTCACTAAGAAATGTTTAAACTTTTATCTTAAAGATAAAATAAAGAGAAAATGTCGATTGGTGCTTTGTTAGTGCTGTATGGTATGGCATTCTGAACTAATCCATTTATTCGAAAATGCGCTATACAACCCTGATCTAGTATCATCAGATTTCTAACTTTCCCAAACGTTGAGAAATTTTTCTGTGGAAAGCGATTCGAACATGACAATTATTTTGTTAAGTGCGAACATTGTCATACTTTTGTGATAAAATTTACGTTTATAAACAGAATTCCCTTCATATCATTGTATGATATGTTGCTTGAAAAATGAGGTAATTTAAAATTAAATCCCAAACCTTCTGTTCTGGTATTAGTGGTTTTATTTTTTCAACATATATATTCTGTTATGTATGGTTACCTTCGTAACTAAAATTTGAACTGACATTTTTTGGGTGTATCCTTCGCTAGTATAACCACATGCTTGTCGTTCCGGAAGCAAAATATATGTATTTTACATACATATCATAAAAACGAATCAACTGATTTATCGTGTTAAGTAATTTGAATCTACATTTGCCATACTTTGATGAGCCGTGTTATACACATAAAATAAAGCCCTTATCCTAATTCTCTATTTTGAATTCAGATATCTCATGTATGTATGAAGATTCCGGAGGATAACGAATATCAAAGGTTTCTTTTGTTTTTTTATATCGAAGCAGCCGCGCAGGCAGAAGCCTAAATGCCGGAACACCGCGGCTGCTATGATGATCCCAAATAAATTTTGTTAATACGATTTTTGAACTGCCTAAGGTTA